GTCTATTAGTTTGTGAGGCTCGGTGATCGGTGTAATCAGCAGTCCCATTGGAGAACTGAGGTGAGGACAATGCAAACACGTTACCAATAGGCAAATAAATGGAGTGCATATTTGCAACATGCTTCGTCCGAGAATAGACCAAACGAAAGGCAACGGAGGGCAAGTAAGTAAGGCAAGCTCCACCTTTGTCCTCGATCTGGATTCATTTATGTACATTTCAAGAATGGTGACAGGGACAGTTTAGCACATCACAAGCCTCGATAAGTTAACCTGAAAACCACGTGAAAAGAAGTATATGCGAATGTGCATGTACATTCAGATGTTCGTCTGAGCTACACAACTACTGTTCGCCTGGGCATGGTGGTAATAAATCTTGTTTGATAGCCCAGAGCGGCTCTCCAGACTTCTACAGGGATTCTGCGCAATTGGGCCGTCTGTCAAGGGTTTTCCAAATCAGTCATAGATATTGGACAGTTTAGAAACAACCATGCGTGATATCAAGAAAATTAGATACCAGATAGTGTCGCCGCCTTCACAATCACCACAGCAATAACACATGCATTGTGCGCACGTGATGCGGAATGAGAGATATACGAACAAGAAATGTAACACAGGGCACGGGCAAGTGCATTTTTGCGCGCATACGAACTGCTTTTTATCACAAAAAACTGTCTCGTGAGCGGACCATTAAAGGAGCAACTTAGAGACTGCGTCCTCACTTTCCTCTTCTTCGTACTTCCCTTGTTACACAGCTCGTCGAGATACAGTGTGTGCTAGCAGAGTAAGAGCTGTTTTATGAGAAATTAGCATCAGCCTGCACTCCACTGTGTTGTCGTGGTGATGAAATTATCGACTTTTTGTCGGATTTTCATCATCCGAAATATTGTGTACAGCGTGAGCCAAAATGTGCCAGTTTGACGAACTATTTTCAGTTTGTGGTCACTCACAGATGTCAACCTAATTGCTGAATTCGAGCTGTCTAATGGATCATATCTGGAGTATACAGAATTTCGTGCCAGAGACTCAACGTACAATAAAAAGTAGAAACAAAGCGCATGCACAAGAGTGAGGTGAGAATGAATACCGGAGCATATTAGAAGGCTGATCACAGGTTTAGGACAATAAAAATAGGCATTTTGAGTAGACTTTTAAGACATTAAATAGTGATCAGAGATATAATAGGAAGATACAATAAAGAAAAATAATAAGGGCACTAGGCCAAGTGGAAATTGAGAATGACTTTGGAAATGTGTGAAGAATAAGAACATTGCCAAGTGGATCAAAAATCGTTATACAGAGGGAAAGGAACTCTAACCATATGGATGAGTGGACGGCAATTAAACTAACGGGACTGATGAAGGTGCGTTATAGAGTCTTCAGAAAAACCAGTAGGTAAATATGTATGAAGGTATGAAGGAATTCATGTAGGATATATCTATCAGTGATGGAAATATACTATGGGCATAGGACTCATAATTTAAACAAAAAGGTGGATGATGTATATGTATGTATATAAAAGTGCAGGTATCTCATAACATTGCTATAATATTTAATACAAGTTGCGTAAATGACAAAAATATAAAGAAAAGGGGTATTGCAAAAGGCATTAGAAAAATCAAAGCGTAAGAAGTAAAGCAAGCCTATTATTTCTTATTTGTACATATGCTTTATTGACAAGGCCTCGGAGAATGTACCTAATTGCTCTCGTAGTCATCAGCTATACAATTTTCGTTAAACAGGCTCATTAGCAGACGTTTAGGCGGTATTCTGATCAGCATCATCAAAAGGTGGTCGTTAAAAGTAGCGAGGATTGAGCTGTACAAATGTATGAGGTCTAATTTTCCTACTGTGGGTTTAGTGGATGATTGTGATCTAGATAAGTCTTCCTCCTTTTCACTACTTATTCACTCATTTTCTGCCTCGAAAAAGTGAGTCTATGTTGGTCGTGCAGAATTCTTAGGAATGAGTAGTCGGCGATATGGGACATAAAAGGTAAATACGAAATGCAGAAATAATCCATCCCAAGTGAAAAAAAATCAAAAGTGGCGATCATAAAAACTATCAAACGATTCTATAATTCTGATGCTAAAAAAGGAACTAGATCAAAGGAAGAATAAACAAAAATTCGTTTTAATGCTACTGATAGTTGAAAAAGGTTCATTACTATCTTAAACAAAAGAGGATTGTTCAGGAGAGGGCCTATTAACTTAGCAACTTAGCATGTGAAGTTGACGCCTGCAATATTACCATTGGCCTGATTCAGGATTACTTCAATTTAAAAAATGTGGATATTCTTCTGCCCCTACTAGTGAATACTCCTTGGTGGTCTATTAAGCAGAGTTTAGCGACTCATACAGTTCATTAAGCTCAATGAGAGGAAAAGTATGGTTACGAAGGCCGAAATAAAGGTCTAGCGCCAAAATAGAAGAGAATTGATGCAATAAACTATCAGAATAGGCTCACAATTCGCTTTGAAGATCTGCTCTGCTTGCCCTCTTGCATCAAATTTTTTTAGTCTGAAAATTATAAGAAATATTATCTCTTTTCATACTTTTAATGGTTCGAGAAGGAATGAGAATAAACAGATAAAATAAGTAAGATTACAAAAAGTTATAAAAAGATATAAGGACTAAAAAGGAAAATACTGAGTAAGGGGAAGAAAGCCGAGGCATACATAGGACAGCCAACTGTATTTTCTTAATGTGGAAGAGAACAAGTCGATTGCCTAAACTTCGGCAAACAAGTTGTGGGAATGATGGGCAGAAACAGAAACTAAGGGATGAAGGGGAAGTCAGAATAAGTGTACGACGAAAGAAATGATTAGAAGAATGGTCAAGGCAAAAGAGACGGCAAGGCATCAAGGGACCACTGACTGCAAGCTGCGCAGTTTAACAAAGCTGGTATGGGAGCGTACGGCACTAGTTGATAAGAAAATCTATGCCATAGGGATCAAACTAACTTAGGAATGTGATCTATTAATGGAAAACAAAGAATCTGCACAATCTTAAAGGCAAAAGAATAGAAAATAAAAGCAAGTAATTTCATGAATAAGTGACCGCCTTTAAGACCTTGAAGAGCAAAAATGCATAAACCACCCCTCAAAATGGCCAGAAAAAACAAGAGCCTAAAAAAAAGTATATATATTATCCGTCAGAGGAAACAAGGATATGCTTTAAAGATGCTCTAGTTCCATGATGATGTAAATAAGTTTTTCTGGGGGTTAATAAAAATAATTTTTTTTCATCTTTAGATCTAGCTTTAGAAATGAAACCTGCTCGGGGAACTCGCATATGAATTATTGACATAAATGGTTTTCGAGACTAACAGTAATTCTTTAGTAAGAGTTTAGCCACTCCAGATCGCTTAAGGTGATTTAATGACTGATAGTGGGGTTTTACCACGATGAGACGAGTAGACTTCACGATGCCTTGCTTCCCAACAGACTATCTCAGCAAGGGTGGACAGCAATTTCGACTTCACCAGCGGCATTGGATGCATGGCCGTAGCATGGCGATGTTACCACTTTGCCCTACTACACGGCCACAACATATATGTGTACATATGAATATAGATTACTCGGTTAAAATAGCTTAATGCCAATAAATATATATATAAAATGTTCACTAGAAGTGCCTAAAAGTGTGCTCAAGCAGGCAAACTAATTTTGTCACTGTCGATTCTAAAGGAAAACTTACCGATTTAATACAGCAACGCCAAGGCCAATTCGTCGGAATCGCATCGGGGCGATTGGAGTCCATTGATCGAGGTCAGGATCGTACCTAATAAGTAAGGACATAAAGTAGCAAATTAATAAAGCAGCTGGATCTTTAAACATTTTCTTAGTGTAAACATAGCATAAATGCGTCGTTATGTGGGAGTTTCGCATAGACTTCAAACACATGACATGTTGTCACCTATTTCGACTGCAATAGTGGCAACTTGATGCGGAGACCTCGTGGTTTTTTTCCCATTTTAATTCTTAAGGGATTATAATGCTAAAAAAGTTAATTTAGAGCGAGAAACAAAATAAAATGATCATGAATTCTACGGACTGATTGAAGCACAAAAATTACAAAAAAGGGAGATGATAAAATTAAACCCTAATAAGGCGTAGAATGATGGTAAACATACAGCATCTAGCATGAAGAATAAAAGCCAAATCTATCGAGACCTATGACGGACATAATCTTTACCAACGTTGAAGAGAGGACACGGATGAAATGAGAAGACACATGGGAACAAAATGATTGACCAAGACAAATCGTCTCGATTCTCGTAAATTGTGGATTCACTCTGCAGTAAATTCACCAAGAGCATTATGCTTTGACAGGTTGTAGCTTACCTAGGAGCCCAGTATCAAGCTGCACAATAATCAGCTAATTCTAAATCACTACAAATGTGCCTAGTTAGGCAGCCCATACCAATCAGAATCATGCATAAGATTACTGGTTTTTATCATCGCTGGAGTGGAGTAGAGCCCAACGACTAGAGTATATTACTCTTTCCTAGTTACATACTTATGTACTAAGTATGACGTCATGCATTTATGTAAAGGGAACAGTGGGCACCAATCATTAGTAAATAACCTAATTTAGAAGAGGAGGCAAAGTAAGTGCAAGTTCGACCAATTCTTGTATCCATCCTGCTCACTTATGTCAATTTTCAGGTTACGAATACTCCCATAATACAACTTGCCCAAATGAGCTTGATACCAGCATACCAATTACTAAATCTCCTCTGTTTAGTCTGACAATCTCCGTCATATAAAACTAGGCTCCATACTTCCTAATTGGAAACGAACCCAAACAGCCAGATTATGATCATTACCCATATAAAACCAGCTCTGGATAGTTTAGCTTGACTCGACAGGCTATTGCATCAAAAACGCTTTCACGCATGATAAAGTCGGGTTACACGAAGTGCTCATCAAGGTGGCCTGGTGAAAAATGTCCTCGATCTTTTCTACTGGACTGCATCCTGACATTTTCAAAGACTCAACCATCTCCGTTAGTCGTGTATTAGCTATGCAATACACAGCAGTATGTTGCAGCGAATCATAACAGACAGGCAAGGTAGCAACGTGAAGACTTTCTGGACCCATTACGTATAGGCACTAGCGGCAAGTTACGACTTTAAATATATTGCAGGAATAGAAAAACGGGCTCTTTCTACATGCCAGCATTAGACTTTCTCAAAGTCTTTCAGTCCGATCTCCCCGAAACATATTTAGCTAATTTGACAAGCCTCGATAAGACCTAATTGTGTCGCTTGAAGCAGCCTCATCGTGGTTTTAGAAAAGATAATCAGCGAGCACTTCGTCCGGCAGGTTCTAGGAGCAAAACCGTTTTTCGGCTTTCAAGTTAGACGAATCTCGGGCCTCTGCCACATCATATAATGGATGTGGCCTCGTCAAGACATCGTTAAGTAGAGAATGCGCTTCGAGATGTCGGCCTCCCAACTTCCATAAACATGGCAGGGAGAAAAGAAATATCGAGACATCAACGTATCTGAAAGGTATTTAGGATTTTTCCACAGACTCCTAAACCACCTGACCAGATTAGGATTTTCTTCGGACTTCATTGTTACATATTATTAGTGGTCAGGATGAGGATAATAAGATCGCAGAATAGAGTCAAATACCCAATTTGTCATGCTCCTGAGGTGTGCGTTAGAAGCAGCCTCTTCATGTTTTACGAGAAGTCAGCGATTACCTAATCTGACAGGCTCTAGAGCCAGTTAACTTTTCGGCTTTCAAAGAAATTCTTACACAGGGCAGCATACAGAAACTCCGTATCAGCAACAGGACGAAATGTACGACAATGGCATAATACACAGGGGGCAGCAAGAAGTCCGCAGTACATCACCTTTATTCACATTTTTTAGTCTAGTCTCATTTCTCCATGACACGACCGTGACCCCATCTGCAGGTAACCAAAAAAAGCTAATAAAAGAACAGATTATATCAGTCCACTCCAAATAATCATCAAGTGTTATGGTGAGGTCTAATTTTCAATTTTTACTCGTTCTAGTCTAGAAATGAAGGAATAACCGTCACTGG